TTTAGAGTTTTGAACTGATTTTCGCAAAATGAATATTAACTCATTTTGAATGTGAGTGGCCCTGAAAAAGACCGCTGGGTACTGTATTTTTTTTTTAGAACAAACTCAGAAACGAGAAGCAATCCGCTTTAACTGCCTTGAGCCTTTGCCATGGCCAAGGCCTACTTGTGAACTTGCTCCTGTCAATGATTTCGTAGAAATGACTAGAGGTGGTATCTCTAGTGTAATCACAGGGTTAGACTATTTGACTCTGGAAGGTCTTTTAACTTTTGGGTCGTAGTAGAGAATTATGATACATTTCTTTCATACTTCCTAAATCAGCCAAAATATTCAGATTACCGTGACCGTTTGACTTTCATTGTTCTCCTTCTCTTCTATACTTTATTTCTTTTCTACTGCTTCTTCCAGTCGTTTCCTTCTCGATTCTTCTCGCTGTTGCTGCTCAAGGGGAATGCTTGTTCTGCCTCTTTCTGTTGCTGTACAAATTTCTTTAGTTCTTCTTTCTGTCTCTTGTCTAAAATTGTCGACGTGTGGTAAAGAAGGAGAAAGTAGCGAAGGTGGTGGTGCCGGTACAAATTCTTGTGAAGGGAGAAAATATACTAAATACCAGTTTAATCGGTCTCTTCGGAAAGTTGCACTGTGTTCACTTAGTAGTCACTGCTATGCCATCGCTTTTCGTCTCCACAGACGGTGCACTCCAATTCATTATCTTCTGAGGTTCCGTCATGTTAAACCAAACAATATTGCATCAATTTACTGCGCACAAACGCTAGCGCATTATATAGGGATTGTGATGTCACAGGTAGCTTTCTTCGGATTGGAAGACAGACTCCACGAAGTAACTGAATTTTGTAACTCGTATTGGGTTGGTCAACAATTTCAATCCGTTTCGATCTGCTCTTACCCTATAAATAAACGCGGTTCACTTTATTCTCTTCACCTGTTCTAATCAGAAAAGATGTGAACCAACGTAGAATCGTATACCCTCGAATCGTCAATGCTGTTCAAGTCCGGAATATCCTATGTATGTCAGATCATCATGAGCCATTACCCAGATCACTTATACAACCATTTGGAAACGAAAAAGCTATGTAGAAAGACAAGGGTGTTTAAAGAGAGTCCTCATCTATGGACCAGAAATGAGACATAGTTTGAGAAAGAGAAGAAGATCAGTGCGATGCCCTGTATATTAACGAACTGGTGTTAATATAACAAACAAATGCCCTTTTTAAGGGCCGCTTTTAATGCCTCGAAAAGATTATAATTTTTATATTGCCTGTATAAGTTATAAAACATACATCCCACTACATTCACCAACACGACGAACGCTTGATGTCACAGTACTTGACGAACGCTTGTCGTCACAGAACTTGTACACTGCCACAATGTTGTAAAGTGACCAGTACCGTGACGTCATGCCACCCGTGTCATAACTCTTGTCCGTATACAGGCCCAGGGTGGGTGTGCGAGTCACTAATACAAAATTTCCATTGTCCGTATACAGGCCCAGGAGGGGGTCTATAATGTTAATTCCCATTGTCTGTATATCGCCCCACTATACTACTATAGTTGTACTTTTTATTGCCTTTGGCCTGACAAAAGATGGAGATTAGCAGAAAGTTGATACACCTATAAGGCCACGAAGAAGGGACCTGCTTCATTGGCTTTGTCCCTGTAAGACCACTCCATTCACAGTAGTGGTTTACAGCACTAATGAATTTAAGGAAGTCACATGTTCCCATGAGAGAGGGGTCCATGGCTTTTCTGGGTGTATTTGTAGATCTTAAGTGCCCCAGGCCCCCAAAGCCATAATCTGGCTCACAGCAACTCGTCTAGGCCTAATTCCCCATCAGCAGTATTTCTGATCTCTTCTCAGAATTTCGTATACATGGGGATGAATTTTCTCATCCGTCTAAGGGGGTCTTTGTTCTTCTCTACATAATCTCACAAGTGGTCTCGCTCATGACAAGGCTAGACGAGAAGACATTGTTTTCTCCTAGCCTTCTGCCTTTCCTTTTCCTCTTGGTGACTTTGTTCCTATTGGAAGGCTTCATATGTGGTCTCTCCTGTAAGGTTTAACGGAAACTATGATTTGGTCTCTCTTCTTTGAAATCCTGGGTTTCTTGGCAAGAATCATCTAACACCGATTACTCCTATTTGTATTAATATCCCCACTTGCAGTCATATATGTACTATAGATGATCAAGATGGATTCCTTTCCTAAAGTTAGCACTTTGTGTTTTCATCTCGATCAAAAGAGAAAAGAGTATCGTACTCATCATTTTTCTTCCTCTAATAGGTGCCTCCTAAAATTAGGCAGCGACCATCCATCTCAAGGTGGATTGTTTGGATGAATAAAAGAACTAGCCAGTTTCTCACTAGTTTTTTTTTTTCTTTGTCGATCAATTCCATATCAAACAGAGAATTTATGCTTTGGTCCCAATGGTAACAGCATAATAAGGATGTCCTGCTGATAGCAATGGTAAGTTCCATCTGACGGCTTATGTTAGGCCATCAGCCTCAAGCCAGACACATAAATTAATTTCTATTATTGTCTAATTACCTCCTCCCTCATTTCTCTGATATGACATTCCGACTGTCCGAAGTTGACAGGGATCATGTTGATTCTTATTTTTTATTTTTGGAGTTGGGAATAATCTCCATGGACCGGAACTTGCGTAAGGGAAGGATTAAGCATGCAAAAATATTAGATAAGTATTGTATAATTAAAATTTATTCTCCCAAAACTACATGTTTTTCCTATCCAAATGAAACTTACTTACAAAGTAACTGTACACGGAAACGGAATTTGGAACAGATGGATGAAAGGAAAAAGAGACAGACTGATAATATGATATCTTCACTTCATGACTAGTATATCAAAATTAGGTCGAAACCTTAACAACAAAAGATGATTTACTTTGAAGGATTGATGCTCTACTGGGTCAAAAGAATTTCCATGGTGACCATAGAGGATATCAGATTGGCACGATTTTTATTGAGGACCAGACAGACATCCTAATAAGTATTTTATGGAAAACCCCAAGCTAATTTGACCATACATTCAGGAAGAGTAGCTACAATATGACTTTTATGATGGCTACCGCGGTGGTCATATTGCTTGTCAGATCGGCACCATTTTCATTTTGGCCCAACTAGACATCACGAGAAGTCTTATAATCAAAACCCAATGTTGATGTGAGAATCCATGTACGAGGAGTAGCGATAACAAGATTTTCAAGATGGCCTCTGCAGTTGACATAGTGGACATCAGATAGGCACCATTTTATTTAAAACTAGATATCACAAGAAGTCTTTTTGTAAAACCCCATTCTAATATGACCATCCGTTCAGGGGGAGTAGCGATAACAAGATATTTAAGAGCGCTGTCATGGCGGCCATATTGGACATCAGATTGGTATCAGTATCATTTAAGACGAACAAGACGTGATAAATCATTTAGTGAATGCTCCATGTTGATATGACCACCTTTTAAGGCGGAGTAGCGATAACAAGACTAAATATAGAGTCACTCTGGCGGCCATATTGGATATCCGAGTAGCATTAAGACCAATCAGACCATGGGATGAATGTGTGTATAGACTTTCAATGCAATCCTCCAAGTAGGTGAGGAGGAGTGGCGATAGAAAACCTGTGCTTACGGACGGACAGACGACAGACAAAGGACATCTTACCGTCCCATAAGTTATTTTGATTTATGACCGGTAGATCGAAAAAAAGAAGAAAAATAGAAAAAAACAAGTTCATTCTTTCAGCTAATTTTCTATGCTGCTCACCCGTATTTCCTGGACAACGACATAGCAAGCATAGACATATTCCATATCTCCTGTTTCTTTGTGCAATTTTTTCGGATTTCTGTAATTTTCCCATTGACAATAAAAACTGTCCATGGAAATTGTGCAGCCAGAGTATCGTAAACTAGTAAACTTTAAAACTTTAGTGCAATTTCTAAACAACTCTATGTCAAACAATCTGAACATTAGAAGACTTGGTTTACGGTTTAATAGTTTATTAAACAATTCCAGACCAATCAAATTTGATGATTCAGTACTTACTTTGATCGGAAACAGAAGAGCTTGGAGAACAGGAAGTATTTCACAATGGAGGTAGTTCCATACATTTTCTATCTTCTCTAACAACTCCTCACCTGCAACAGCAATACATAAATAAATAAATAAATAAATAAATAAATAAATAATAGACAATGGAAAAATTGGTTGTTAAAGAAACTTACTTTCTTCTTTCAACGTACAGATTTTCATGAGCCACTCTCGATAAGACAACGAGAAGAAGCTTTCAGACTTTGATTTTCAATGCTTATTATTTCATACTCCCAGACATATGATCAAAAATTCTGATACAAAACACACAATCTAGGCATGCTACACGATTGCGTAACAAAACAGAGGCCTGTAAGAAATCAACTTGCCAGTGTCATTCTTCATGTCTTCTCGCAATAGCACCATCCCTTTCTTCATTAGTTTATCCTAAATCAAATAAAAGCATAAACTAGAAATACAAAGGTACAAAACATAGACGTAAATGCACGTCTGTTATTTAATCACAATCAGACTTTATTACTAGAAATGATATCATATAATTTGCATTTTTTTTATTTTTGTTTATTTGTTATGTGTGCCTAACTTGTATTGCCAGGGACAGATACGCCTGCATTGTCAAGACAATTGGTTAGTTCCTTGCTAGTAATATTGCTACTATATTTGATAATACTCTCTTATTTGTGTAAAAAAAAAGAATGGATTTTAAAGTTGCTTCAACAATTGAAGTCATATCGCTACCATGTCTGCAATGTGGCAGTTTACAGTGATGTCTTGCACTGGGGCATCATGCCGCACACATATAATTAACGTCCGACTCAATCATATCCTGACACCAGGTCAACCAGTCCTAATACTAACCTCTTAACACTAAGCACCCAATGACATATCTGCTAGTACCATTATTATAAGTCTTTGGTATGACTCAGAAGGAATTGAAGCCCGCGACCTTCCCCATCCAAGGCGGATGCTCTAACCATTAAGGCTAGTGGAGAGGTCCCACACGCAACTACATATAGTCTGTTTGTATAGCTTGATTACATGGATTAGACATCCACCATCCAGAACATTTTGTGTTGTATAAATGACTTCAATATTTACAACTTTGTGATGTAGCCCCGTGCGGCAGAGTGGTCTAAAGTCTTCACCGTTTCGGATCACTGCCATCTCACCTATGTCTGCGTGGGTTCGAGTCTCGGGCTCGGCCAATGTGGGTACGTGAGAAAGCTTGCCAGTAGCTTCTTGTGGGTCCGTACTTTCTTCTGGGGTTTTCCCCGGGTTCTTCCTCCACCATTTATACTAGCCATGTATAGCCCATCTTGTGCTGAAAAATGGCGCTAACCATACAACAACAACAATTAAAACCAATGGGTATCTTTCAAACCTGTGCACACATGTACGAATAGGTGAAGATGAACACCTGTGTACGCGAATACCTGTACCAATGAGTTTATATCAATAAGGACCTTACTGTATGATCAAAGAAAATAAAGTTTTGTTGATAAAAAGAAACACGATGCAAGCTCTTTAGTGAATTTTATACAACACCTACGATATATGTATATAACCATTCATTTTTTTTAAAAAAAGTTTAACTCAAGTTTTGAATTAGTGTAGAATACTACAAACGCAAATGACAAGCTCGTAGCAAACATCTTAAAAAAACCAACGTCCTCCACGATATCAAAGCAAATTTACATACACAGAACATGATTTATACTTATAACAAACTCAGAATGTTCGGTAATTATAGCTTATGAGTAACATGTACTTGTAGATTATACCTCTAAAGTATTGTCCTGTATTGCATTCCTTCACTTGAAAAACTTGTAGGGGAATACTTATACAAATAACAGTTCTTTGAGGATTTAATAATATTGCGAAAAATCAATGGAGTACTAATAGACTAATAAAGACGCTTGTTCCAATTACCCTAGTTCAAGAAAACTTGTAATAAATAGAAACATCTATATTCTATCTATATTTGTGAATATTAATCAGGTGTAAATAGTCTAAAACCCGAAATACAGCGTCATGCCACCGAAATCTCTCTTCAGATTAAAATAAATGTTTTGGAAAATTCCGATTAAAATCTTTTGATGAATGGAAACTAATTCCAAATTTATTGGTGCCGAAAATGTTGTGTCATATAATTAAAATTTAATTAATTTCATTTTCTAATTTGGTTTTCCTTCCTTCACTTCGTACCTTGTAATAGTCATATATTAAAGGTCCCGCTTCTGTGTTCACCAGGTACCTATCCATAAAAAAGAATCGGTAAAGTCAATCACAGTGTATACCCATCATTCATAAATGTAATATAATCCGAACAACAATGCGATAGGAATGATGGTGGCGACGACAATGTGAATCCTTGTACCTCTGATATCCATAAAGCTTCCTTGCTTATAGTGGCATGCACAGTTCCACACTTTATCACATACATCTAAAATACATTTAAACAAAAAGCATTATGATTCTAGTAATTAAAGTTTATGCTGTATTAGAAGAGACGTTCTTTTTATAGACAACTACTTATAGCACTAGCCTTTACAACAAAGACTTAAAAAGAACTTTATGCACTAATGCTTTCTGTAAAATTTGGTCAAATTCTTGCGATTTTTTTAAAAGAATCCGTTTAAATGATTGTCTAGTAACGGTTAACATATTTGAGACGAATCAATATAATTTTGTATAAATTTTAAACCCTTTAATGCAGAATGATTTGTCAAATTTGGTCACATTCTACCAATCAGTTTTTGAGATGATTTTTTTTTTTTACGCCATAGATGTTTTCTATAAACTTTGGTCACAAGCTGTTGAGCTGTTTTTCAGCAGAAGGAGGCTAAATCTTTTTATTTGTAAATGTAGTCATATTTGGTGGCGTGTCATTTGTACAGACTTGAGGGTCATCTGTACAGGACGCTTTATATTATATTTAGTCAAATTCCGTTGGGCGTTGTTTTTTTTTTGTTGTTGTACGTTTTACTAAAGCTTTTTCCATTGTTAGTAACAGTTGGTACATTTGATGGTGGATAAGAATCGTTTGTATAAATCGGAATGCCCTCTACGCCTGGATGTTGTCTTTCTAACTTTGTCAAATTCTTTGCAGCTAATCTTGAGAAGAATTCATTTAAAGGTTTTATAGTTTGAGTAAAAGTGGCCATACTGGATGGCATATCGGAATCATCTGTAAAAAAAATTAAAAGTCTCTACGACGGGATATTCTAAACTTGTCTGGTTGGTTTGTGAAAAAAAAGCTAAAAATAGCAATTATTCACTGAAGTTGTAAGGACGACGCGCAACGTACCGAGCACCATACTATAATCTCAACAGGCATTACAACCAGATCAGCAAATGGAAAGAATTTTTTTTAAATTAAAAAACCACAAGAATCCTTCCAAGGAACTGAAGCTCTCCTGGCAAAAAGAATTTTCTGGAATTCAAGATAAGACCATTTCGTCCTTTTAACTGTCGATTGTTGATACCATCTCTGATTTACTTCAGTAGTAAGGTTTTCAAATTAGTTGCTCGGGAACATATACTGGATGACAGATGAGCATCAATTTGATTCAGGACAAAGTAGGAATCATTAGAAGTCTTTTGGTGAAAACAGATGTCTTAATGATCACCCATTCAGGAGGAGTAGTGACAACAGGATTCAGTTGTCATGGCAGCCATACTAGATGTACGATTGGCATCATTTTCATTTAGAACCAGTTAGGTAAAATAATAGGTCTATTGCTGAAAACTCCATCCATTTGGAGAGGAATAGTGATAATAACTTCAAGATATGACTTTCCATCCAAGAATGCTAATAACAAGATTTCAAGATGGCTATTATGGTAGCCATATTGGACGTCAGATCGGCACCATTTTTATTTTAAGACCAAGTGGATACCATAAGAAGTCTTCTGGTAACAATCCCTAAGTCAATATGACTTTCTGTTTAAGTAGAGTTTTGATAACAAGATTTGACTGCCACAACGGCCATATTGGATGTCAGATTGACGTCATTGTTTATTTAGGACCAGCTAGAACATCACAGGAAGTCTCTTAGCGAAAACTGATATGACCATCCATTCAGGAGGATTAGTGACAACAAGATTTTCAAGATAACTAAAGTGTTGGCAATATTAGACAACAAAACTGCTACATTTTCACTTAAGAGCAACTATGCATCAAAAACAGTCTTTTAGTAACATACCATATTAATGTGATATCCATTCAAGATGAGTAGCGATAGCAAGGTGTTCAAGATGGTCGCTTTGGTGGCTATGTTGGATGTCATTTCATCTAGGACCGAATCAGCAATGGGAGGAATTGTGTGCGCAATTTTAATTCAATTCTTGAAGTTGTTTAGGAGTAATAGGCAAAGTCAATGTTAAAGTACGTAAACATGTTTGGGTGAAATGAACCAAAAGATGTCCACCAGTACAATCCGGATTGAATATCTGTGATTTCACAACGAAAGCTTTGCATATTGATAGAAAAATTGTGTTCTACCCTTGAGTGTGACGATTCCAATCGACGCGCTCTTATTTTGACCCAGTTTAGTACATGGCCACCTTGTCAAAAGTCCATAGCGATTGATAATTTTCATCTGGAAGCTTCTTGGTGAGAGTTATGGTGCACAACATTCAATAACCAGGACTGAATAGACTTTTGGTTAAAGAAAAGTAGTTTTAAAATTAAAAAAAAACCCCAACAATTTACATTTAATTTAAAATGAATAAATGTGCATACATAAGCCATGTGAATAGTTCTTTAGTAGAGTCACCGCATCACTGAAATCTATGGTTCTTACATGGGTGTTCTTGAGACACACGCATTACCGAACACAACTGCCTATGTCGTCTAGGTGTTCTTCGTACAAGTGTTTATAAATTTAAAACCTACAACTTTGTATAGAAATAAGCGTAGAGCTATGAACAAACTTCGAATAGACAACACAACCATCCTTACCTGACTTTTTCTTGCAGAGTGGAGAGTTCCCCTTCCTGTAACTTCTTTCTCTGAAATAGTTGCACAACGGCCATCGTAATGCTGAAATAATTAAATACACTTATATATCCTTATGATTTATGTTTATTATTGGAAAAAAAATCATCGAAAATTTAATGCTATTATGTTTCCTTTTTGAATAAATTTATTTAAAAATGATGATTCTTTCTTACCGCATTCACAAGCAATTAGTCATGAATGATACATCACCTTGACCTTGAATTTAGGACCTTGCATGTGGCAAGCTTCTGTATCTATTAAAATCGCATAAACTAGAACAACTACAATGGCTCCTCATCGCAAATCGCCACTCTTTTTATTGCATTTCCACCCCTCCTCCCCGCATCCCAATAACGTGCTCTCAATTCCTTGGCATAATACAGCCAATAGTGTGTTGAATGTGCCGTTAAAATATCAACCAAACAATCCCACCCCACCAAAATTATAACCAAGGGGTCATTCAAAACTCGTAGAATATGTGATGCATCTAATGTCTGGTCAAAAATATTTTAAAATTTCATCGTATATAAAACTGCATACATCTGGCCTTTAATACATTCCAAGGCACCACTGAGGAAGGATCTAAGGATTATTCCCCTTTTGTAGATGGCTACCCAGAGTACAACGCAACTATCATATCCAGACCATCGTGCAGAAGACATGATAAATGACAGGCGGACAAAGGGTGAGTATCACAATAACACCTGCTGAAGCATGGCAAAAATAACGTCAACATTATTAAACAGACAGACTATAAAACGTTTTAAACTGCTTGGCTTGCATCTTTATGACTGAAGTGTGCTATACACATTCTCCTGTATCAAAGAACCTGACTTACTGTTTAATTTGGACTCAGGGCTCCAGTGTGTCTACGGATGGACCAAAGGATGTGGTCAATGACAAACGGACCAGCGGAATAAAAATAAAATATTTTGTTAATTACTTTATGCAAAAAGACAGAAGGCAAAGAATAATAAATAACTGACGGTGGCCCG